TAAGAAATGTCGAGAAATTGGAAATGGACACGGGACGGGAGATAATAATTAAAAAAATGAGGGTAAAGTTAAAAGAAGAAAACATTTGATGCTTAGGGATTACATAATTGAGATTAATTAGGGAGATTAAAGTGTGTATTAAGAGAGAAGCAATTAGCGTTTAAAGAAGGGATTAAGAAAATGAAAAGAAAAGAAAAGTAGAAAGGAAGATGCAATGAATGAACCAATAAGGGTTAAACACAAGAGGGGAAGCCCACGCAACGGCGCTAAAGTATATATGCTTTACAATTTATTAATCCAATTATCTCATAAAGCAAAGAATCGTTGACTATTTTTATTATTATTTTCTGCAAATGCATGCGACTGCGAGTGCTTCACCTTATTTTTGCAGATGCTTTTTTTTTTTTTTTTTTAAATTCATTTTTCATTTATTTTCCATAATAATTATCAAACTTGGTGCTCACCGGGCGACCGGCCGACCTTCAACAGGCATACATCCAGCAACACGTGTCGTGATGGGATCAAGAAGGACAGTACATCATCCAATACAGTGTGCATTGGGATTTTGATATGAGTTTTAACTGCTCGAGAAGGATTGAAAATGGAGGGAGTGATAACATGTTTTTTTTGTTTTTTTTTTTTTTAATTTTGGAGAAATTAAGAAGAGGGTTTTGTTTTCCGAAAGGAGAAAGTGTGTGTCAACTTTTCATAGTAGGGTTACCCTTTTGGGATAGTGGGAAATGAGAGGATGCTTGCGTATTATGATGATTATTCTTCCCCAACACCCAACTTCCAAGCCAACAAAAGAAATGACAAAGCTTATACCCACTTTGAATTTAGCCTTTAATAATGCTGCCTAACCTAACAACTAAGAGGACAAGTGGCAGACAAACATCCCGAGTCGTCGTGTTCGTCTACTCGTGTCTCTTTAGTGTCACTCTTCTTAGACCGAGTCTTTTTTTTTTTTAAACTAAATACCCATTTGAGTTTCTTGGACTATGAAACACCCGAGTCGTCGTATTAGTCTACTCTATCATTTCAACGTGAGATCCTCAACATCTAGAGTAAGTCACCGTTCTTAAACCGGGTTGTTTTTGTTTTTTTTTTTTTTAAACCAAATACCCGTTTGAGCTGCTGAGAGTCGGAAGAGGTTATAAAAATTGTGGGGGCAAATGGGAAAGGCATCTTGTGGGGATTGTTTTTATTTGTTTGGTAACCCTAAATGGAGGCAGAGTTGGCATGTAATGGCGTTTTGATAACTCTGCCCGCATGCACTTTCGGCTACAGGCCATGCGAGTCGCAGAACGTGGGAGGGAGGGAGGCAATGGGCAAGCAAAGAAAGGCCTTTTGTTTTTTTTAAACACAAAAAAGTGATGGCCTTTGGGTTGGGTTCAGAGGAAACCCAAGGGATCCCCACTACTACTAGAATCAACATGATGGTGACGATGGGCATTTCAATTATTGGGTTCTCTTTCTTTCTTTATGCACAACCATTCTATTTGTGGTCCTAAACTTCCCATATTCTGTGGCTAGGGTTCTTTTTCATACACAAATGCCCATTTTACACTTCTCTAGAACACCCTCTAAACTTTATATTCTCGAGAATTTAAATAAACCCAGATACGTTTCGGTTGGTTTTAATTATACCCGCACTAGCTACCAAGCTTAGTGATGTTCGTGGGATATTTTCGAGTCAAAACAAAGAAGGGTAGACGTAACTCATTGAATTTTTTGTGTTCATCTTGATCCAGTGCGTGCTTTGTTATGAAAAGTTGCATGGATATAAGAATATTAGAGGGAGATGGAAAAGGCCAAATACAAAATGACATGAATTATGGGAAAATGGAAGGGGGAAATGAAAATGGGCACAGAAGATGATGGAGAGGCAGTCAAAGATATGGGCAGATTTAAGTCTGTGGATGAAGTTATGGCGGAGGCAAGCTGACAGTTTGACGCCATGCAACTGGCTGTCCTGCAGCGGCACCGCCACAGATCGGCTGCTGCTTGCCGCCCACCATGCACATCACCTCATCCTTCATGCTTCCTCCCTCCATTGGTTGGCTACCTGACCATGATAGCCCGAGAGCAATGAACCATACCGGGAGGTCTAATGGCTTTGCTTTCAGCTTCTCCAAAAAGTCCCACACCAATGAAGATCCGTTCCTTCACTCACCAACTCACAATCTAAATTAGCCTCAACAGGTTTACCATGTTCATTAAAGTTAAATTGGTTTAAATTCGAATTTTAAAATATTAATTCATTAAAGTTATTGTTAGTAACGTTGTACTGAACGGGAATCAATTTTTATCTAAAGAAAAAAAGAGTGAGAATATATTAAATTAATAAAAACGTACCAAAAGCATAAACAAATAAAAAAAAATAGAAAAAAAGTTGTGGACCCATTTTTCACCAGTTTTATTATATAAGACCAACCAATTAAAAAATTAATAATTAATTTATATTATCAATTTAATCAATTTATACTATTTTTTATTTAAAAATCTTTTCAATTTAATATAAAAAAAATCACTAATATTTATTTGGTTCTTACGTTTATTTCTAATTATATTAATCTGTTTAAATTTATATAATAGGTAGTTTTGAATTTTAATTGATGTAAGCCCAAATCATTGGGGGCATAAATGAAATTTCACCTAAATTTAGGTTTTTGGGCCGTAAGCTTTGTTATAATCCATTTATTCCCATTCCTGTAGGCTTTTAGTGGGTATTGAAGATGGGCCTTTACGAGAACTAGGCCCAATGTGACCCAGACCAATGTTTCAGTCTCAAAGCCCAAACACAAACTGTGGGCCCATCCAGTGGGCTTTACTTCCATATTGGAAAGTGGCCTATACTAGAACTAGGCCCAATGGGCCTAGACCAATGTTCTGTCTCAAAGTCCAAGTCCAAACAGTGGCAGCTTAAAAAATAATTTTTGAAAAGTCATTATAAACCAACCAACCCTTCATTTGACTATAATAGAACGAACAAACAAACAACATTAGTAAGCGTTAATGGCTTTGAGGAACAGTGATGTGTTAAAAAGCTTCAAAGCAACTCGAGAACCTAGCACGAAAATTGCATCAAACTAAAATGTACGCTAATAACAGTTTTTTTGTGGCCTCTTGATATCTCACGACATTATGAACTCAGCTCACGTACCATTTTAATGGATGAATAATCCAACACTTGTAATATACTACAGTCGTGGCCTCTTGATATCTCACGACATTATGAACCCAGCTCACGTACCGTTGTAATGGATGAATAACCCAACCATTGTAACATACTTGATATCTCATGACATTATGAACCCAGCTCACGTACTGTTTTAATGGATGAATAACCCAACCCTTGTAACATACTACAGCCCCATATGGCGAAGAGCCTACATCAAGGTGTCAAACCTTCCCGTCGATGTGAGCTATTGGATAACTTTTATCCATTGAGCGACGATCCTTACACTCGAGATAGTCCAGGAAACCGTGCAATTTTGTTTCAAGATTCAACCCAAAAAACGAACCACATCTTATCCACATCTAACCACTGATATGGGACTGTGTCTAAACAAATTCAAAACAAAAGCATGATGTTTGAAATGTAAAATCATTGAATCAGTCATCAAGCTATGAAACTCTGAGCTACCAGGGTGCTAAAATCAAACCACTTCTGTTCTATCCACAACAAATCCCAGCATCCCAAAAACATTCAATTCGAAGTGTTCTTATCAAGATGAACATTACAATTGTTGGAATTATGATGAGAAAGCACTTACAGAGATTAAGGAGAAAGAGAGGCAAATGAATCACCACCACCCATAAACCACCTGTTCGCATCTGCGCTTCAGCCATCGGAAGCTGTTTCTGAAAGACCCCTTCATTTTGCCTTCCACAGAGTACATCTTGTAGCTAGCAACCCTCTTCTTCCTCTGAAATTCAGGGTCCGACAAGCTCCAAGACTTGGGGAAAGACCCACAACCCTTTTCCCCTTTCTTCATCTCCATCTGGGTCTGCGCATAAGACGCGGAATATGACCTCAATTCGTATGAGCTTCCAGGGTTTGTGGTGGAGTTGCTCTCTGTGTTGATGTCCCCGCCGAACCCATTTCCATGCGACCTGTAATCTTCCATGGGGATTGGGAGAGGAGGAAATTTAAAGGGTTTGATCTTAAAAGGAAAAGAAAGGTTAATTTGAAGAGCACAGCCCTGGGGAATGATGGAAAATGTGGGGTCCGGATTTGATTTTCTTCGCTTCTTAGCGTTTCTCGGCGCTTGGATTGGCTGACTTTTGGAATTAAGTTTCGGTGGCGTGTTCGTGATGCGTTCGTTGTTGTTTATTGATTAGACATTTCAAAGGGTTGATTAAGCCCAGCTTTTCTGTTTGGAACAACATGAATGATTGAAGATATTCTAATTGCGAGGCTGACCGTCACAAGTAACCGAGTCAAAACAGACAATATCTATTACAGTAATAGATTTGGGCTGTTACAAATGGTATTAGAGTAAGATACGGGCACGTTATGTCAGCGAGGACACTATGCTAGTGGTGGACTTGGGCTGTTACACATGGTAACAAAGCCAGACATCGAACGATGGACACTCACCTCTAAGAGATGGATTGTGAGATCCCACCTCCATTCGAGAGGGGAATGGTTGGACACTGAACGATGTGTCAGCGAAACATTGGCCCCTAAAAGAGATTGATTATCTACCAGTGATGGACTTGAATTGTTACAAATCATATTAGGGGAAAGCCTCTTTCTTTCCTATTCCGGGTAAAATGTTTTGTGGGTAATAAGCAATGTATATTACACAGAAAAAATGGTTGTCGCTTAATTTTTTTTAATAATTAGTATAGTTGAAGAAAATAAGCTCCACCAGCCAATAAAAGGATGACACGTAGGCAGGTGAAAAGAGTGGAGGAACATATGAACCGCAGGTGATTAAATCCCACGGGCTTTGTTGAGGGCCTGGTTTAGCTAGAAATGCAAGGGATAGAAACAGGCAAAAGGACAAAGTTCCGTCGTTGGCGCAAAAATTTGGAGGCAATGCTCTGACGTAAATCGCAATTCCCCCTCCAACCATAACCGTACTCTCCGATTTCTTGATTTATTCTTCCCCGTCTCCTTCGATTCTTCTCCGTGTTTCGATTTTTCGGCTTTCAAGGAAGATATGTGGGAACCCATTTGTTTAACTCTGGCCGCCGCCGCCGGCAACAATATCGGCAAAATTATTCAGAAGAAGGGCACCGTCATTCTTCCTCCTCTCTCCTTCAAGCTCAAGGTACGGTTTCTCCTTTTCTTTTCAATTTCCTTTCTCCATGTCAACGGGCGTCGTGATTTTCCCGACATTTCCGTCTGGGTCATCTAATTTCATGCGATTCGTCTTCTTTTTCTCCCTTCATCTGCGATGGCTAGTTGTACTGTGTTTCTTTGATGTTGATCTTATTTGATCTTCAACTTTTCTCTACTTCCCGATTTCATTGGGTTGTATTCTGAATGTAAACTTTCTTATAGCGAATTCATTGAACGCGTTGATAAATTTCCTCTTGTTGTTTGTGTTGTATAGGTGATAAGGGCTTACGCTTTTAACAAAACTTGGATCATAGGTTTTCTGATGGATATATTTGGAGCTGTTCTAATGCTGAGAGCGTTATCTCTCGCCCCTGTAAGTCCTTTATTCAGCTACGTACGCCCTTGTCTTTTCGGTTTTTGTTCGGCATTGGTTTATTGGATCTTGGCTGATGGAAATATCAATTGCTGTTTTGATGCCTAAGTGACTTCCCTTGTCATTATGTATTGTCTATCACTATGAAAACAGCATGTAACCTAAATATTTCATCTCTAATTTGATGTTACAAAACCATTTTGTAGATTACTTCTTTCCCAAGAATCCATACCTCACAGGAAAATTCATACAGTTTTGTCAATGTAGCACGGACTTTCTTCCCCGAAATATGCAATTCTTTTCTAATTTCCGTCTTTCAGGTCTCTATAATTCAACCAGTTTCTGGATGTGGACTTGCCATCCTCTCTATTTTTTCACATTTTTATCTGAAGGAAATAATGAATGCTGTCGATTGGATGGGGATTACGCTTGCTGGCATTGGCACCATAGGTAATGTAAGTTCATCTTTGTGTCATTAAGCTAACTATTGTTTTGATCCTTTTTTCGCCTTTCCTGTCTTTTAAAGTTCATTTTATGCATCTGAGGTTTATCTCATGTCATGTATCTCAGCTTTTTGTGAATGTTCATATTCCTTCCTAATTCTGTAATTTACTTGGCCGTTTTTTTGGGTTTCATTTCAAGGGGTTGGTGCTGGAGGCGAGGAGCAAAAGGCGTCTGCGATATCGATTTTCCATTTGCCATGGCTAGCTTTCATCATTACCATCTTGTTTGTAGGTATCTTATATTATTGACACCTTACGGTTTATAAAAATCTCTGGCCATGTAAACTAGATAAGGCTTTTTATGTTCGTTTAATTTTATGGTCTTGCTTGCAGAATATAACTTTCTAGTACTCTGTAAATTAAGCTGTAAAAGATGAATGTGTTGAGTTCTAGAAATGATTGGGTATATGTATATGTTCTAACAGGTTCTTCTTAGCGGATGGCTTCATTTCTACAAACGTCAAAGGAAAGAACAAGAGTTGGTAAATTCATTGCTTTAGTATTGACTTTTCACTGGTTTTCTTGTCCTCCCAAAAAATAATATGTTACACATGTATATATGTTGCAGATGGAATTTGAAGTTGTCGAAGAAATAATATACGGCTTAGAATCTGGCATTTTGTTCGGGTACTGTTCTGGCTTGCACTCTTTTGCTTGATGGAATACATTTCCTGCAATTATTATGGTTGAGGATGACTAATAGGTATTAGAACTTTGCTTGACTGTGAGGAATCATGGATCCTGCCCGATCGCGGTGGTATCCTAGTTTGTCTCAAGTTGAATCTTAGCCAGCTTTTCTTTCGACGGTCAGGATAGATTAGAAAATGAAAAGAGAAACTTTTAGTAGTTCTATAATTGTTATGGTTGACTGTATACGGTCATGATGTTTTAGGACTGGAGTATACGCATGCTATAGAGTTTTTAGTTGTTTACACATCTATGGCTTGCGTCGAGCCTGATCGACTCCACTCACATTTTGAAAGGGAAATAATCCAATCAGCTTTTCAGATTCATATCGGCAAAATGTTACAATTTAAATCTGCAATTTCAGGATGGCATCTGTAATATCAAAAATGGGATTCTTATTCTTGGAGCAGGGCTTCCACGAAATATTGGTACCAATATGCATCCTGATAAGTATTTGTTGCAGTGCTACAGGATTTTACTATCAGGTACTTTGAACTCTTGGTGATTTGATCTCTTTACCATTCTGTTCTGCATTTAATGTTTATTGTTTTATTGACAGCTTTTGCCTGTGTTGTTCTAGTTCATAATGATGTTGTCTTTTCTTTAGTAGACTCGAGGACTAAAACATGGGAGGGCAATTGTGGTGTCTACATGTGCTGCTGTGGCATCTATCGTCACTGGTGTCGTTGCTGGTATGCTTGCTTTGGGTGAAGAATTGCCCTCGTCACCGACTGCTCGCCTCTTCCTTCTGCTGGGATGGTAAACTAGAAATACATACCCGTTCTATGGTTTCTACATCACTACCTTGACTTGATAAAGAAAATCGTTAACTACATTCCGTGTTTATGATAACTGACTGGACGATTTCGAGGGTCCAGTGCATTAAATACTTGGAAAGGCTTAGCTAGTGAAGATTGATTGACAATTGGATGCTTAATTGCTGTTTTTTCCTCCTAGAAAAGAATGGTCTTTGGTATATACGTACGTTGAATACATGTTAATCTGCCTTTGTGGGTTAATGTTATTTATGCAAGACTTTCTCTGTATACAGGCTGCTAATCATCACAGGTGTTATTCTGCTTGTGAGTTCAGCACGACTGACCCGACGTCTTACTTGGCTATACCGACGATTTAAGCGAAGTGGTGTGGATAGGAGCTTTGGGCATAGATCTGGATCATCTGTGCGCCTACGAGATTCAAGCCCCAGTGCAATCATTCAGACAACCACATTGCAGAATATGATGTTATCATCAAAAGCAAAGGCTGACGCTTGAAGACCGTGAAGACGGTTCATGTGTAGATATAATACCAATGTGGGAGTCCATCCAGGTATGAACATATTCTGATCTGGGTTGGAATTTGGGAATGCACTCCACTTTCTCATGGGTGTGTTTTTTAGAATTATACCTTCTTGCTTGCATAGGCACCACATGTTTCGAGATCTCCTTTGATTGATTGTTTCAATGTTTGAGGCCATTTCATAATATCCAATTACCCATTATAATGTATGAATTTTTGAAGAATGATGATGATCATGATCTTAGTCAATTTATGAAGATTGTTCAACCATTTATTTTCTTGTGTTATACTCCAAGGTCCTCTTACTCAAGAAATTACATTCCAAAAAGTTTGGAAGCATGAGATCTTCTAATCAACTTTCTTACTACGTTTATCCTCGAGGTGAGTACTAAATATTATTTAATTCTTTTTTAAATTTGGCCTAACATGCAGGATGGAGATTCAAATGTATGATTTTGTGTACATCAGTTAGAGAGAGTAATGAAACATTGTTTATAAGGGTATTGAAATTCCTCCCTAGCAGATGCATTTTAAGGGGAAAGTCCAAAGATGACAATATATGCCAGCGGTGTACTTAGACTGTTACAGATATCTTTGGTCAAGAGTCTAATGTTTCAACTCGTCGAGATAATTGGTGAGAAGAATCAACCACCTTTCTTTGTTTTTCTTTAAATAACATCACATCCATTTTTTCTTTCTACTTGGAACGCCGAAGCGATAGCATTCAGCGTTTCAGACAAAGTTGAGTTGAGGGAGATGGATCCATTATCTGATAACCTCAGCTTTCCATGATCTCCATTATTGCGAACAAACATGTCTAGCAGATCAACAAGCAGTTCTGTAGGCTGTGGGGACTAATGGTAGAAAGAAAAGGCCCCCCCATGAAAAGGTGGGAATTAACAGCCAAAACCATCCACTCTCTTAGTTTCTACCACTTAATACACGCAGGCCCCTCGTGTCGTTTCTTCACACTCACCACTCTGTGTTAGCAATTACCAATAACTCTTTAATGACAAAAAAAAGAAACCCAGCATTCAACAACACATCTTTCCCAAGCTTTCATCTCCAAATTCCTTAGCTTACGATTCTTCCGATCACAACCAGCCATGTGATTGATAGCAAGACTTCCTCATAGGACTACGGGAAAGATACCCACAACACAAAAACCCTACACCTGCTGCGGGAATGGACGATAACCTGAAAAACCCATGTGACACTTTTGGCAGACTGACTTCAGGCCAAGCTTGTCAAATAAAGCTAGCTTATGATGAACTGGATTTCCAGAGGTGACAGACCATTGGGTTTCCTATAATTTTGGTACCCGCTACTTTTGTTTGTCCTGTGTATTGAAATTTCGGTATGTGAAATCTCACATTGGTTGAAAACCTTTTCCTGAAAAAGCTCAAATAAGACAATATTTGTTAGACTTGGGCTGTTACAAATGGTATAGAGCCAGACATCGAATGGTGTGCCAACTAGGACGCTGGCCTCCAAGAGAGGTAGATTGTAAGATCTCATAATGGTTGGAGAGGGGAACGAAACATTTCTTATAAGGTTGTGGAAACTTCTCCCTAGTAGACGCTTATTAAAACCTTAAGGGAAAGCTCGAAAGAAAAAGTCCAAAGAATACTATATTTACTAGCGGTGGACTTGGGTTGTCATAGGTGCCTCCTCTAAATAGGATGTTAAGGATGATTTACCTGATCAATGAGGTGGCTTTGGTGTCTATCATCTCTGTACAATTAGGAAAAGATATATATATATATATTCACTTTTGTCCAAAAAAGGAGCATAAGAAATCATATCCATTCGTTTTCAAACTGAAAGACAGCTGAAGCATCTGAATCATTCAGTTTGTCCTTCAAGCTCAGTATAGCTATGGACCTTTAAACAAGTTGAATTAGAAGGTGCTATTATAATCAGTGAAGCACTCAACAGAATAATATGGAAAATAAGTAACCTATTGTATATATAAAGTGCAAAGAAGTGGTGACCTATGAGATTCCACGTCGGTTGAAGCGGGAAACAAAACATTTTCTATGAGGGCGTAAAAACCTCTCCCTAGTAGAATCGTGAAGTTAACGAAATACGTAATGGACTAAATCGGACAATATTTACTAGGGGGTGAGCATCAACTGGTATTTGGATTGACCACAAACTAAGCACTTTGTAAACAGAAAGAGGCATTTATTAGAACTCAAATCACAAAGAACACAAGTACACAATGATGAACCACTTATGGCCCCATAACAACAGGTTCCCATTCATGATTAAAAATGGCATTAAAAATGAAGACCCATTACCACTTATCAGTCATGGTTTATGGTCGTTACCAAGCTGCTCCAATTCCCAGCTTTCATGTGGAGCAATGTGTTCACTGAATGGAGTATGTTCCTGCACAAACCAAGAATTATAATGGCTTTGGTTTTCAGAGACAGAATTAGAATGGCTTTGGTTTTCACTTTTCAGATAGATACCTCCATTTTCTCCATGAGTTCCTTCGCTGTTGGAGCAGATATCACAATCTCTCGAGCACCAGGCTTAATGAAACCTTCCACAACGCCATTGTCAAACAGAGCCAACAAAGAGTTGTAGTAACCATCAACATTAAGCAGCCCAACCTGCGCAGAGTAATTAAGCTTAACATACAACCTTCAACCACATAGTTTGCAAAGGCTACGCTTACTGGTTTCTTATGGATACCCAGTTGAGCCCAGGTTATCATTTCCAACAGCTCTTCCATTGTCCCATACCCTCCTAAACCAAATAACAATCATACATTAAACACACTATTGGCTACAATTGGCTACAATTAGCTTCAATTAGCTACAATTATGTGGAGAGTTACCAGGAAGAGCAATAAAAGCATCTGATTCTCGAGCCATTGCAGCTTTGCGCTCATGCATGTCCAAAACTGTTCTTACCTCCCCAACAGTTTGTCCAGAGATCTACCAGGATCATCCAACACAATTTACAGAGACATGTTATGAGTTTAGAGACACTAAAATGGAGAAACAAACAAGCTTATATACCTCATGGGGCATCAAAGCTTTTGGAATGATCCTGCATCAAAACATGAATCAATAATACATTCGATTCTTGCATACAAAACTGCCCAAATTTGGATCTATCCTACCCAAGAACATGGCAGCCTCCATCGTGAACAGTCTGTGATATCAAACCCATAAGCCCAACACTTCCCCCACCGTACGCCAAATCAATCTTCCTCGCGACCTGGAAATGGAAACCACAGAAACAAGAACATTAAGAAATAACCTAATAACGCAATCAATGGTAAAACTCAATGGATTGGAGAAGAAGCTAACCAGTTCATTTCCGAGATCAAGAGCAGCATCGCTGAAGACTTTCCGATGGCCGGAGTTGCTGCCGCAGAAGACGCAGACTCTCTTGAACTTGCTTCTTGAATTGTTCGCTTCCATTCACGATCGAAGTGTTTGTTAACATAAATGGTGAAGAAACATCGGGAAAAGGCAGTAGCGGCGGTATCTTCTACAGATTATACCCTTTTATATATATATATATATGGTGAAGGATCGAAAGTCTTCCCAAAAAAGGAGAAACAAAACAAAAGGGAATTTCAGAACCCCATTACTAAAAGAGACAACAAGAGAGGGGGTTTGTTTTGAATTTGAGGTTGTTGAAGGAATGGAGCGAAAAACGGCAATTAGAATTGGGAAGAACAGATGATGGGGGCCTTTATATATCAAACCACCACCACCCCACATGCCTTCATTCCCCTTTCTAATTCCATCTCCATTTTGTCGCCCATCCGAATCACCACCACACTGTTAACAAATTAAAGTAAAATAGATTAGAAAACTAATCATCTTCGATCAAGATAATCACATTGCCACGCTGTGATTTCCAATTGGCTCCTTCCCTTTTTTTCCTTTTTTGTTCTTGTTCATCATTAATTATTGCACAAATTATTGTCCCCTTTGTTTGCTGATCTCATTGCAGATGTTTCTTGCCTTTTTAATTCAATTTTTTAAAGGAAATAACGGATGAATCAAATATTAGTTGTCATGATATGAATCTGAGCATAGTTAAGTAGAAAAATATAAACTATTTCGCTATTTTATTTAGGTAAGAGTTGAACTAAATAAATTATTTTAAATTTATTGTAGAAAATTCTTTTTTTTTTTTTTTTTTATTTTTTTTTTTTTTTTTTTTTTTTTTTTTTTTTTTTTTTTTTTTTTTTTTTTTTTTTTTTTTTTTTTTTTTTTTTTTTTTACTTTGTTTTTAAAATAAGTTTAGAAAAAAATTAACAATAATATAATAGGTACAAAAAAAATTAAAATATTAAAAAAGATGAAGATATTTGAGTGGAGTTAACGTGTATTTTTATGGGATATATTATACCACTTACTTACGTGACTAATATATTTTTGTTAATATTATATTTGAATTAGTTTGGTTGACTTTTGAAGTGGGAGTATGGGGATTTTTTTAATGTAAGAAATTAAGGGTGAAGGCTACGCCAATCCAAATAACAATTAAATACTACAAATATATATATATATATATATATATATATAGACACAAACACACAATACAAGCTTTAGGGCTTCTTAATTAAAATAATAAAATAATTACAAATGTTGAACTTTTATTAATGTCGGCAAGTCCGGTGTCTTCTAAAGTTCTAATTAGTCGATTATTTTATTTATTAAAAAATGTAGTTACAATAATTAATTTGGAAAAGAAAAGGAAAAAAAAAAAGAAAAAACAGGTGCCGTTGGATTTCGTTGGTCGACCCAGATGTTACCAGTATGGCGTCCAATAGGACAACCCAGATTAATATATATATTATAGATATGCACAGTTCATTGTCTTTTTTTCTTTTTGAAATTTGAATTTAAAATAGTGATGTTTAATTATTTTGTTGTGTTTCATAAAATATTTTTTTAATTTTGAAATACAAAAGTTTTTATTATTACTGGTGTATCGAAAACGACAAAAAAAAAAATGCACATTTTATAGGAAAACGAAAGTTTTTAAAAATCAATTTATAGGTTGACGTGGAATAAAATTTGTAAGAATTGTAATTTCCTCCCCATTTCAATATAAATATATTTTATTATTATTATTTTTTACTTTTAATAATTTACTACTTAACTAAGTTACTTATTTTTCTTAATCATAATATCATTTGGACGCTTCGACCTTCCTTTGAATGGAAGCGTCACATGCCCTCCAGTTTTCTCCTTGGTTCGTCCCAGTAGAACTAAAGAGAGCATTGGATTCCGGGGCGAGATCGGACGGTGGGGAATCACCTACGAGAAACTGATGAAATAAAGAGAAAAGGAGGGCTTCTGGTCTCCTACGTGTTTTTTCTTCTGCTATCATCTATCTACCCGTGCTTTCTAGCGTGCCTTTTCATGGAAGATTTGTTTGTTTGTTTTTTTCGGGGAAATCGAGGGTGAGGTAATTTCGTAATATTGTAAAACCCCAAGAGTAAAAAAGAAACCTTTATGGCCTATTGGAATCGAGCGGGAGGAAGCCCCACAAAGCGACCTCCCTCCCTCCATCGTTATATTTTGAAATTCAAATGGGAAGCTGTGGTTGGTTGTCCATGAACTCTCCACTTTCCCACGAAGAACAAAACTAAACCCATTTCTCTTTCAAAGATTTTGAATTGTTCCTCTGCTCAAAAAGGCTGGAGTTCCTTTCTGTCCTTCAGATAACCATTGCCTCTAAAGCTTTGACTATCTGATATCATTTAATACTCATTGCTCTGTTTCTTCTCTGATTTGATGGGGGGTTCTGGGAAATGGAGGAAGGTCTTTACAGGGCAGAGGAAGTCTGAGAAGGACGACAATGTGAGCTGAATTTTGGATTTGTTCTTTCTTTCTTTCTTTCTTTCTTTTCCAATCTGTTTTTGAAGCTTGGAAATGGTGATTGTTTGTTTGTGTGTGTTTTTACAGGAGAAGTTGTGTAGTAAAACTAAGAAATGGAGGCTATGGAGGAGCCCTTCAGGGGATTTGAGCTCTGTATGGAAGGGTTATAAAGGGGCACATAAAGCAGCTTCTGAAGGCTCTGATTCTCCTCGAGCGCCTGATTCTTTTACTGCCGCCGTCGCCGCTGTCCTCCGTGCTCCGCCCAAGAATTTCAGGGTTGTCCGCCAAGAATGGGCTGCAATTCGGATCCAAACTGCATTTCGTGGTTTCTTGGTACAACTCTTTCCTCTTCATGCTAATAAGTTTCTAACTCTGTTTAGGACACCATGGCAAGTTCTTTACTGATTTGGTCGTGGAACTTTTTGTAGTCTAGGAGGGCTCTTAGAGCCTTGAAGGGAGTGGTGAGGCTTCAAGCTCTGGTGAGGGGTCGTTTGGTGAGGAAGCAGGCAGCTATTACACTGAGGTGCATGCAGGCTCTGGTTAGAGTCCAAGCTCGTGTCCGAGCGCGTCATGTGAGGATGTCGGTTGAGGGGCAGGCTGTGCAGCAATTGCTTAATGAACATCGCAGCAAGGCTGATCTCCTAAAGCAAGCTGAGGTTGTCATAATACAAGGAGAAGATGTTATTATGAATTGTATATCAAAACATCGCCATTGAGAACTAAAGTAAGCATTTGGTTCATTTGCAGGAAGGTTGGTGTGATAGCAAAGGGACAATGGAAGATATCAAAGCTAAGTTACAAATGAAGCAATATGGAGCATTTAAGAGGGAAAGAGCAATTGCTTACTCTCTTGTTCAGAAGGTATAATAGTCGAGATACTTCCGATCATGTATCGCGTGTCGGTTTTTCCTTTGAGAAATAATATCTCAGTTTGGTTTTTGTGTTTATTTTTTGCTCTCCAGCAATTGAAGGCAACACCAAGCTCAACTTCGCAAGTAAATGCATCGATTTACGCTCTTAAGAATTCCGAGTTCGACAAGAACAATTGGGGATGGAGTTGGTTGGAGAGATGGATGGCAGCNACGTGGAATAAAATTTGTAAGAATTGTAATTTCCTCCCCATTTCAATATAAATATATTTTATTATTATTATTTTTTACTTTTAATAATTTACTACTTAACTAAGTTACTTATTTTTCTTAATCATAATATCATTTGGACGCTTCGACCTTCCTTTGAATGGAAGCGTCACATGCCCTCCAGTTTTCTCCTTGGTTCGTCCCAGTAGAACTAAAGAGAGCATTGGATTCCGGGGCGAGATCGGACGGTGGGGAATCACCTACGAGAAACTGATGAAATAAAGAGAAAAGGAGGGCTTCTGGTCTCCTACGTGTTTTTTCTTCTGCTATCATCTATCTACCCGTGCTTTCTAGCGTGCCTTTTCATGGAAGATTTGTTTGTTTGTTTTTTTCGGGGAAATCGAGGGTGAGGTAATTTCGTAATATTGTAAAACCCCAAGAGTAAAAAAGAAACCTTTATGGCCTATTGGAATCGAGCGGGAGGAAGCCCCACAAAGCGACCTCCCTCCCTCCATCGTTATATTTTGAAATTCAAATGGGAAGCTGTGGTTGGTTGTCCATGAACTCTCCACTTTCCCACGAAGAACAAAACTAAACCCATTTCTCTTTCAAAGATTTTGAATTGTTCCTCTGCTCAAAAAGGCTGGAGTTCCTTTCTGTCCTTCAGATAACCATTGCCTCTAAAGCTTTGACTATCTGATATCATTTAATACTCATTGCTCTGTTTCTTCTCTGATTTGATGGGGGGTTCTGGGAAATGGAGGAAGGTCTTTACAGGGCAGAGGAAGTCTGAGAAGGACGACAATGTGAGCTGAATTTTGGATTTGTTCTTTCTTTCTTTCTTTCTTTCTTTTCCAATCTGTTTTTGAAGCTTGGAAATGGTGATTGTTTGTTTGTGTGTGTTTTTACAGGAGAAGTTGTGTAGTAAAACTAAGAAATGGAGGCTATGGAGGAGCCCTTCAGGGGATTTGAGCTCTGTATGGAAGGGTTATAAAGGGGCACATAAAGCAGCTTCTGAAGGCTCTGATTCTCCTCGAGCGCCTGATTCTTTTACTGCCGCCGTCGCCGCTGTCCTCCGTGCTCCGCCCAAGAATTTCAGGGTTGTCCGCCAAGAATGGGCTGCAATTCGGATCCAAACTGCATTTCGTGGTTTCTTGGTACAACTCTTTCCTCTTCATGCTAATAAGTTTCTAACTCTGTTTAGGACACCATGGCAAGTTCTTTACTGATTTGGTCGTGGAACTTTTTGTAGTCTAGGAGGGCTCTTAGAGCCTTGAAGGGAGTGGTGAGGCTTCAAGCTCTGGTGAGGGGTCGTTTGGTGAGGAAGCAGGCAGCTATTACACTGAGGTGCATGCAGGCTCTGGTTAGAGTCCAAGCTCGTGTCCGAGCGCGTCATGTGAGGATGTCGGTTGAGGGGCAGGCTGTGCAGCAATTGCTTAATGAACATCGCAGCAAGGCTGATCTCCTAAAGCAAGCTGAGGTTGTCATAATACAAGGAGAAGATGTTATTATGAATTGTATATCAAAACATCGCCATTGAGAACTAAAGTAAGCATTTGGTTCATTTGCAGGAAGGTTGGTGTGATAGCAAAGGGACAATGGAAGATATCAAAGCTAAGTTACAAATGAAGCAATATGGAGCATTTAAGAGGGAAAGAGCAATTGCTTACTCTCTTGTTCAGAAGGTATAATAGTCGAGATACTTCCGATCATGTATCGCGTGTCGGTTTTTCCTTTGAGAAATAATATCTCAGTTTGGTTTTTGTGTTTATTTTTTGCTCTCCAGCAATTGAAGGCAACACCAAGCTCAACTTCGCAAGTAAATGCATCGATTTACGCTCTTAAGAATTCCGAGTTCGACAAGAACAATTGGGGATGGAGTTGGTTGGAGAGATGGATGGCAGCTAAGCCATGGGAGACAATGTTGAAAGAACAATCTCGCACTGATTCCATTGAGGTCACTCCACCACCTTCAAAGAAATGTATAGAGTCTATCGTACCTAAACATTCCATAGTTTCTGAACCAAGTTTGGTGAAGATTCGGAGAAACAATGTATCCACTAGGATATCTGCTAAACCTCCCTCAAGTGGGCAAGCTCGTTCTTGTTCTAGCCCAAGTTCTGATTTCCGGTACGATGAGAGCTCTGTTTCATCTTCGATCTGCACATCGACAACTCCTGCGTCGGGGAATGTTTTCTCAACCATTGAAAGACCTGAGAATAGCAGTTATAGTAGGCCAAGTTACATGAACCCTACAGAGTCGACAAAGGTGAAGCAGAAAACAAACAGTCATTTATCGCATCGAGTTCAAAGGCAGTCCATGGATGAGTATCAATTCCTTCAGAAGTCAGCAGGTTTCTCTACTGGGGATTCTAAGAGTAGTGCTGGCTCTGATTCATCAGTCAACCCCTTTAAGCCATTCATGCTGTCCACACGATTGGATAAGAATGGAACAAAGCTAAGATCATGAGCAATTAGAGAGAGGCTCGCTTATGAAACCTGTTTCTGTTCATTCTAGAAGAGTTCTGCACTGCCTTATTTCTTAATTCCTGCCATCAAAATTGTGAATCATTCGACAGAGTTGTATTGTGTCAGATCCAATGGAGAATGGCTCGTTCTTTGTATTATAGCTCTTGTTTTTGCCACTTCTGCAAATTTTGTTTAGAACTCTTGGCCTAAGCTTATATTATCTGGATCAGATCCTTTTGATCAAAGAAGATTTTCTGTTTATGTAATTTCAGGTAGTAACTAACACCAAAGATGGTTTTGGGGAGAATATATCTTTTAGAAACATACATAACCTTCTTTTGACATAGCTTTGATGATTGACACTTAGCGTACAAACTGATAGAATTAGATTCTCACAGCCTATAAGATTTTGGCCATAGTCAATGTAATACCCTCTATTTACGGTTAATCACTCTGAGCTTGACACCATTCTTGAAGTTGAGAATGACACCATACTCAAGTTCAAGAGGTTGTTCCATGGAGAGGGAATGCCTAAATGCAAACTTCCTATACAAATGAATCAAAGTGAGCTTCAATTCCTGAAGGGCGAACTTCTGACCAATACATGCTCGAGGACCAATTCCGAACGGGATTAAGGCATAGGGGTGTCTTTGTTTCTCCTCTTCTGCATCTGGATCAAACCTCTCGGGTTTAAATTTATCAGGTTCTGGAAAATTCTTTGGATCCTTGGCAAGAACTCCAAGTGCTAACCAAACCCATGTTCCCTAATCTCATAAAAAAGTAGTGTCTTTCAATTAGTTAGACTGATTCACTAAGTTGCTTGAAGACAAAGATGCATCAGTTGGTTTTCATTGAATTACCTTGGGAAGAAGATATCCACCAATCTCCACATCTTTAGATGTCTCCCTAGCTACTAGAGGGGAAACAGTGTAGAACCTCATAGCCTCTTTAATCACCTGCCCTCAGAGAATACGATAACAATGAATCTTCTCATGTGAGAGGTCTTAAACTATAGAAACGAGAACATAACCCAAATTACTTAACCTGATCAAGATATGGAAACTTTTGTTGAAGATCATTAGCTGTTGGTATCTGATCTGATGGACCATAGTTGTCAATCTCTTCTAGCAACTTCTTCTCGACTTCTGGATGTCCAGCAACTAAATATACAATAGAAGACAACGTGAATGCTGTAGTAGCTGAACCAGCAAGTAGGTGTTCGTACGTGACTGCGCTGATGTAGTCTGGAGAGAAGACATTCCTTGATACCGTCTCTGACTCTCTTGCTCTCAAAATGAGAGATAAGAAGTCTTTTGAACTTCGATCGTTACATTTCATTCTCTTGTCCACGATCTCATTAAGCCGACCACTTAACTTCTGATTTGTCCGGTCAACTTTCCAGTCCATGGTGGATGGTATTCTCTTCAGGATTTGTCTAAATGGTTCTTGGAGTATAGGGACAAGAAGTCCCAAAATGATTGAGAAGGAACCCGATAAATCCATCTTGAGCTGCGTTGTGGAGTAGATATGTTGATTGATGAAGTCTGAAACTTCATCATTTTTGCTGTCACGGCCATTGGTACCGCAAGTTTTGGTTGCTTGAGGATTAGAGAGCCCAAAGTTGACACCGAAGGCTGCTGTTCCAATTACATCGGTGGTCAATTTGAGGGAGAGATTGGAGAAAGGGATGTCTTCCTCGACAGAGGAATGGAGATTTTGAGTGGCAGTTTCAATGATTGATTGCATAGTAGGTATTAGTCTCGTAAGATGAGAGGGCTGATAGACCGATAGTATAGTGTTTCGCATTGTCGACCATCTTGCATCCCTTTAAAATTAAATGGAGTAGTTAAGCAGTTGATAGAGTTTTTTCCCCCTTAGTAAAGGAAAGAACGAAAAAGAAAAGTACCTTGTGAAGAAAAGACCTTTCTGATGAAGCGGGGAAGCTGATATTGGAGAAGGGACACTTCTATTTGGGATGTCCTTGAATTTCTTGATACCAACTTCTTTACAAAGCTCAGGGTCTGCTATAATTATCAATGGCTGCCTACCCATATGGAACCTGTTTGATTAAAAATAGTTGGAAGAATTTCATTAACACAAGCAAAACCAACATTTCATTCCCTACACAGGTTTCAGGGGTTACCCCCCTTCACTGTATGTTCTAGTAACTTTTGCTGTCGGCAAAAGGAATTATAGTGCAATCCCATCAAAATCTTTGGCCAGTAGCATATCATTACAATCATTGAATATTGCCACACTGTTATTCCCTTTTCATTTCACATCAATAGATATCATCAAATTCCCCTCGTTTATGTACATCCATCCATCGATTTCGAAATTTACAGGGGTTATATAGAAATACTTGGCCATTTATATTCATAATTTTACGAAAAGAAAAGATTTTAAGAGCGTGCAAGTGAATAGAACCAAATTATGCCTACAATATCCCTCTAACTGCACAGTCGAGCTAAGGTACGATAAGCGACGTCGTTTGTTGACCATCTCCGAAGTAAAAAGGAAGGATTTTTAAGATAGGAAAGTCAGAAGAAGACAGGAAACTGACCTGAAGATGGGGCCATATTGGGAGGCGAGGACAGAGAAAACGTCTGGGCCGTACTTAGCCAGCAAGGGAAGGTGTCCGACCAGCGGAATAGCTGGTGGACCAGGCACCCTTCTCACTCCCCAGTAAGGTCCATAGAAATAAACCAACCCCCCTCCCACGACGCACAACGTCGTGAACAATAGTGCACCCACTCCCACAGGCACACTCGCCACCACTGTTCGGAAAAAACCATCCATTTTTCTGGATAGCCAAAAGGAGGAAAAGGGAGAAGAAGAAAGCGAGAGAGAAAGGGAAAGGAAAAGGGAAAGGAAAAGGGAAAGGGAGAGTGCGTTGACTGTTGAGTTTATTTTGTTGTGGTGCGTGGTTTGTGTTTAAATAAGGCAATTGGGGAGGGAAATGAAAATAACAAGAAGAGGGTGGGGGTGGCAGTGGGAGTTTCACTAAGATAGGTTCTTTTGTCGGTACACGAATGATTATACGAGTGGAAATAATGAAACGACCATCGAAGTCCTTTTATTCTTCTGTTATTCTGCATCGTTGAAATGTTTGGATGGTGAAGAATTCATCATATTCTGCAGTCTAGTTTGCTTTTTTCATAATGTTTAACACAAAATTCAACTCAACAATACACTAAACAGCAAAAGAAGCCTCTAGTGGAAGAGTAAAACTAAATCCCATCTCATCCAGTGGCAGTTATTTTCTTCTACACCCCTCGGGTCGAACTGAAAGAGATTATTTTTTCAGAGGTGATCTTTAAGTTTCAACGTTTTGTACCAATCCATCCGACAGCGGTACATTATTGATGCGTATCACGGTACGCCCACGATGGGTAAAGGGACAGCTTATTCTTAATCATATAGACGCACTTGAGACAGCTAGTTCCTAATATTCCAATTTTGAAGGCAAAGAATCAAGTCCTGCGTACATCATCGATTTCATAATGCATAGCGAATATTCTTATAGGCTTGGATCTATATGGAAAATGAAAATTCTCCTGAAGGCGGTTTTGTCGTAAGTGGTAGGAATTTTCTTTGAGAAATTTTGTTTTGTGTTGTGGCTTTTCTCAAACAAAGATGTTAAATTTTAGACGTTGCGGCTTTTTCCTGGTCTCGCGTATTCGGTTGTTCATATCCCTCATCATCCTCAATTCAGTGTTTTCTATATATTTGTGTGATGGATGAGGATGGGGATGAAAATGGGACATGGGGATAAGAGAGTAATTGAATCAAAGTGATGGATTTGTGAGTTTCAAAGATGGAAAGCTTTCAGGTTGTCACAATCTTGACCTGCACGCGCACTTTGTCATGCAGATAAAACCAGAGTGGCCCTGGACCAGCCATACTCAGTAGTTGATGGGATTGGGAACTGGACACGTTTCTAAACAAACATATATATATATATATATATATATATATATATATATATATATATATATATATATATATATATATATATATATATATATATA